TTTTAGCTCGTGGTTTCACGGTTTCAGGGGACTTAGTCCGAAGTCAGCTGGCTCCAAGGCAGAAAAGGCACAGCGGAAAGACCTGACAGAGGAAAGCTGCTTGCCTCATGGCAGCCAGGAAGCCAAGGGAGAGAAGGGAACGAGGATAAGAATATACCTTTGAGGTCACACCCTCAGTTCCTGCAACCAAGTCCCACCTCCTAACAGCACATTCAACTATGAAGTCATTAGTGGATGATGAGTACAGGGCTCCTGTGAACCGGCCACCTTCCACAAGCCCCACCTCTGAGCACACGAGACTGTGAGGGAACAAATGTTTGAAAATGCTTTGTTTTTCATACATTTATTGACACTAAATGTGCTTCCTAATTTTAAACAAGATGATAGATAATTTAACTTAAATTTATTTACTGACATGAGATAAGAATACTTTCATATGGTTTGTTTTTATAATCACATACATTATATAGTCATCTTTATATCTGCATGTTCTATCTATTTTTCTACTGGATCAGTTTTTTATTCTTTGCAAGTGCTCTTTGAATATATAAATATTTTTATATCACTACTTTGTTTTGCCATCTGTCCTTTGCTTTTATGTATGGCCTAGCTTTGTTTTACCATATAGAAGGTATGAAGTTGGGTTATTAAATGGTTGAATTTTTCTATGGGTTTGCCTTCTGTGTTGTGAGGTTGAAGTCTTTCTTGTTTTGCTAAATTGTTTGTTTGTTTGTTTTGTTTTGTTTTGGTACCAGGGTTGAACTCAGGTCCTTACGCTTGCAAGGCAGGTGCCAGAACTGCTGAGCTAAATCCCTGGCCCTGTTTTGCTTTTTAATCAAATCCTCCTGATTAGTAGCAAAGTTACATAAAATATAATTGGAAGATATTGGTGTATAAGGTACTTTTTGAATTGGTGCACTCAGCTATCTCAGAAGGACTAATAACATTTTTGGGGTTGGAACCCCCGAGTGGCCCTGAGTATTTATTAATGATGTAAAGAAAGAAATAGAAAACCACACAGAGTTGTTGGCCACTGAGTGAACTGTCTTCTTACTGAATGAACAGTCTGCTAAGTTCACTTCTTTCTTCTTCCTGGGAACAATATTTGACTGTGGCCACCAAGTCTCAGCATTAATTGCTTTAGCTCAGAAGTCTGTACGGAAGAAAACTGTGAGTAACATGAGTCCGGGAACAAAACGATCCTGCTCTGAGGCACAGACTACATGTAAGCACTGCGTTTAGAAATACCATGGCTTCCTGGTTGATGCATTTGAAGGATATAGTGCACATGGACAAGGTAGCCCAGTGAGTGGTTCGGTAATTACAGAGAAGGAGCTAGGAGATGTGAAAGATGCTGTTCAACTTGATCTGTCCTTTTAGGAAGTCTGATTCCTTTTTAGAAGGTCATATAGTGAGCACTATTGCTAATTTTGCCCTCACAGTGTGATGTTGGCCTTTCTTTATTTTTACCAACACTTTCTGAAGTTAGTAAGGAGGCTCTCTTTTCCCAGCAGCATAGTTGTATTCAAACTTGGTTCAAAACAGAGTAGAAATGAGGTTTTGGTTTCCAAGTTCCTATTTAGCATTCTCTTCTAGATGACACATAGTCCAAAGAATATCCACCTTTTTTTTTTTTTCCTTTGAGGTTCAGGTCCTTTTCCAACAGCTGCTGCTGATCATCAAGCTGTTAATCTCTTTAGAAATTAGTTATTCAGTATCAGGTAGTGTAGTAGAAGCCATTCTTATTGTCCCTTGTGCATATGACCTTAACTCCACCTTCAACCATTCTCTCTCTCTCCCTGGACATGTGTCTTAGCCCATTAGTCTGCTGAAGCAATAGCAATTAATTTTTTACAGTTCTGGTACTTGGGAAGTCCAAGATCAAGATTCCAGAATATTTGATATCCAGTGAGGTCCCATTTTCTGGTTCAAAGATGTCCATATATTCTCTGTGTGTCCACATATCAGAAGGGGCAAGGAAGTTCTCTGGGAACTCTTTTATCACGTCATTAATCCCATTCTTCAGAGTTCTGCTCCCAAAGCTAATGCCTCCCCAAGACTTCCCCTCTAAACACCCTCCTGTTAGAAGTCAGATTCCAATGTATGTTTATATAGGGCTCAAAAATTCATATCATAACAACACCCAAGGCCCAAGATCTCCATGTCCTGCATCTCTTTTCACTTTATCCTGGCTGAGGGTGAGGGACAAGCCCCAGCAGCCCAGCAGTTTAGACAATTATAGAAGCCTTTATTATCCTTTTATTAAACCACGCAGGGAGAGAATAAAATACTAGATTGTGGTCCAAAATCTTTGCATGAAGAAATTCTTTGCACTCCTAAGAAGAGTCCCCAGATGATGTGACCTATCTGGGACATAAGGGATTCCATCTCAAGATGGATCGCAATCTGATATTAAGAACTCTGTCCTAACCATTTCTTGTCTGTGACAACGATCATTAGAAGGAGTATACTTGAGAAACCATGACCAAGTAGAAAAGTCTACTTAGATAAAGTTCTATTCTTCCTTCTATCTCCCTGGAACTTGTCCTTATGGTGTTTCCCAAATCCACTGTGTTGATATGTAAAGCTAATCCTTATTTGAAGAGCCAAAGTTTATCTTAAAAATATTAATTAAAATTGTCACTACAGGGGATTAAAAAGCACAACTCGACTTCTCAGTATTGCTCTGTTTCATTCATACAACAGATATTTATTTAACTCCTCCAGTATGTGCAGCAGCACAGTGGCAGGTAGTGGGAACATATCAGGAGTAATCATAGTGACTGTAGCTGAGAAATACTGAGCTCTTACTAACTGCTAGGCATTGTGCTAAGTGCCTCCTGTGAGTTATTTCATAAAATTCTGCAATGAACCTTGTAATTAGGTGCTTCTATAATCTCTGTGTAAAGATAAGGAAAATGAGGCTTACAGAGGTTGAATAACTTACCTAAGAGCATATTGCTAGAGGGATTAAAGTTGGTATTCCACTTCATATACTTTCTACTTCTGATTGTTTCCTGTTATTTCTACATGAGGCAGAAATAAGCCCATGCCCTCATGGAGCATATAGTCTGAATTGGAAAATACTTACAGAAAGACTTTAAAATAATCTCAGAAGAAAAATGAAGTGTCTACCTCTTAGCAGATTTTAGTCTGATTACACATATTTAAGGAAGTTGGTGGGTTGACACAGACTCTCCTTCTCATCGTTAATCAAATTCATCCTACCCCCGTGTCTTTTTTCTGTCTTTGTCCGTGCATGTGTTGCCTTGTCCTTCTGTTCTTTTTCTTCTCTGAGAGTCCACATCTGTCTACTTTACCTCTCTCCCATCTAGATAATTAGTAGAGTCCCCAAATGCCATGCCATGGAGTTTGGGAGGAAAACATGGAAGAAGGGAACACTTTGCTGCAAATGAAATGAACTTCTGATGGATGGTTTAGTAAGCCTAGAGGTTCCTCTTTAGCATTCTTTGGTATTTAAGCGACACAGGATCCCAAAAGCACATCCACTCCATTCTGTTGTTGCTAATCTCATTTTTTTCAAGATTAACAACCCAGTTCATTATGTTTTCAGTTCACATTAATCATCTATTTTGCAAGTTTGGTAACATTTGGAGTCATTTCCCTCTGTATTTACCCATCTGGGATCTTTATAAAAGATAAGCTTGCAGAAAGTCATTTGGTGTTTGTGCAGAAAGTCTTTTGTTGCTCATTGCTGAAAAAAAAAAAAGAATGTTCTTCAATCAGAAAGGAAAACTGAAATCCAGTAGGGATTCCCTTCACCAGACAGAGGGTCCCCATACCTGAGCTCCATGAGGTCTCCTCTTGGAGCAAGAGCCGCAGCACAGATATTAGGCTGCAACAAAACGGCATCAGAAATCACTGAAAGCAATGATGCTTGCTGGATCCTAACTATACTCACAGAGCAGATGGGATTGTAAGAGAACTGTGGGGGTAGTGGGAAGAGATGCGAGATTAATGAGTCAGAACACTTTGGCTGGACTCCTGTCTCTACATCTACAAGCTGTTTGACCTTGGACAAATCATACAAACTCTATCCACTCATCTCCTCTGTGAAATGGTCCCAAAATGTGCCCATCTTCTCTATATCACAGCGTAGTTAATTATATTATCATCTCTGCTCTCTGCTGTTTAAGGAGTTTTATAGTCATGCTTTTATCATCTAATTTTGTAATTTCTGTGTCTTTTTCATCTATGTATTATTGGGAAAGTCTCAGAGGTTATATTTCTTCATTCTCTCCTTATATAGAAAAGTCTCTTAAGTATGTGTCATATTTGAAGATCTTCTGAGGAGGGAATGCATTGTTTAGAGAACATAGGGGATCCTTTGGAAATCAAGTTGTAAGCATCTCAGGAGGTATAATGTAGTCTCAGGAGGTGATAAGGAAGCAGTTCTTCTGGACTTCATTGTTTGTCTTCCCTTAGCAACATTCTGTTGTGATGGTTAGAATGCATTCACTTAATTCTTAAATCCAGAAAGATGTTTCTTCAGAGACAATATTCCCAATCAGGCATCTGCTCAAAAGCCATGACAGATATTCCTGTCTATGGTCATTAACCATGATATATCGGTATTATTTCTCATTGCTGCCCAGGTTCAGTGCTAAATTGCATTAATGTATCTGGTTACTGTAGAAAGACTTAATTAAACTTTATTTCTGTAAAGTTTAAGAAGGTTCCAGAGGAGGAATTGTAGAGATGAGAGAAATTGGAGCTATTTGCTATAGTTCTGCACAGCTGTAAACAAATTGACAGAATTTGGGAATGTTGTCATTTATTGACAGTTCTCTTTCTCGTAGCACCTGGGATTTGAGCAGGGGATTCCCATTACACAGATGATTCCCAGTGGCATTAATGGAAATTACCTGCATAACTAACTTATCTGCCCACATAGAATGCCCGATGTGTGAGAGCTCTTTTAATTGCAATGGACTTTGCACTGCAGAAGAACTAATTACATCTGCTTCCTTTTCCTGTAGGTTCCCAGGCAAGGACAGCAATAATGAAGAGATGCATGTGTTAGCTGCAGCCTTTTGAGTCACACACAAAGGAAATCAAGGTGTGGACAGAGCTGGAACCATTGCCACACTTGTTGGAATAAATGAGGAATGGACTTGTGATTATGCTGACATTCCAGCATGAATCTGGTAGACCTGTGGTTAACCCGTTCCCTCTCCATGTGTCTCCTCCTACAAAGTTTTGTTCTTATGATATTGTGCTTTCATTCAGCCAGTATGTGTCCCAAGGGTTGTCTTTGTTCTTCCTCTGGGGGTTTAAACGTCACCTGTAGCAATGCAAATCTCAAGGAAATACCTAGAGATCTTCCTCCTGAAACGGTCTTATTGTATCTGGACTCCAATCAGATCACATCTATCCCCAATGAGATTTTCAAGGACCTCCATCAACTGAGAGTTCTCAACCTGTCCAAAAATGGTATTGAGTTTATTGATGAGCATGCCTTCAAGGGAGTAGCTGAGACTTTGCAGACTCTAGACTTGTCCGACAACCGGATTCAAAGTGTGCACAAAAATGCCTTCAATAACCTGAAGGCTCGGGCCCGAATTGCCAACAACCCCTGGCACTGTGACTGTACTCTACAGCAAGTTCTGAGGAGCATGGCATCCAATCACGAGACGGCCCACAATGTGATCTGTAAGACTTCTGTGTTGGACGAACACGCAGGGAGACCATTTCTCAATGCTGCCAATGATGCTGACCTTTGTAACCTCCCTAAAAAAACTACTGATTATGCCATGCTGGTTACCATGTTTGGCTGGTTCACCATGGTGATCTCATATGTAGTGTATTATGTGAGGCAAAATCAGGAGGATGCCCGGAGACACCTTGAGTACTTGAAATCCTTGCCAAGTAGGCAAAAGAAAGCAGATGAACCCGATGACATTAGCACTGTGGTATAATGTTCAAATTGACTGGCACTGAAAGAAAGTAGTTTGCAACTGCAGTAGAATAAGTGGTTTACTTCTCCCACCCATTGTAAACATTTAAAACTTTGTATTTCAGTTTCTTTTGAATTATGCCACTGTTAAACTTTAACATAACATAATTTTAGTTTAGATGATCTACTCCTTCAACTGTACCCCTGGTGGTATATTCCTGAGTAAGCTACTATCAAAACATTAGTTAGAACCATCTCACTATTTAATAATGAAATTTATTTTTTTAATTTAAAACCAAATAAAAGCTTAACTTTGAACCATGGAAAACAGAGTGACTTATTGGTCAAGAAAACAGTACAGTCATTCCATTCACTTTAAAGAAAAACAGACAGCCCTGTGAACCGAAGGAGCCATCATGAGAGATTAAGCCTTATTGCACACTGGGGAGCCATCGATGAATTATTGACCATGTTAAGGATCTTTCAGACTTCAAAATATTGAACCTAAGCAAACCCAGGTGATTATACAAGTGTGGCAACCTGCTGATGTTGAAAAGTTGGAATGCATTTTGGCCTTTGCTTTTTAAAAGCCGGTCTTTCTAGCTATAAAGACTACATGATTATTTAGATTTTACTCTGTGCTAGACATGTTGAGAAAGAAAACTGACACATTTTCAGTCCTCAAGGTTCTTTCTGGTGGACAGGAATATGTAACAAATACATAATTAGCGATACTAGAAGGGAGAATCTTAATAGTCACACAACTTTTCACACAACTGTGTGAAAGCACTTTTAGGCATTTTGAAACTATTACTGTCTCTCAACCTTAAGTACAGAGGAGACAGTGACTATTACCTCATTTACATAAGAGATACTACAAATGAAAGTGATTCAAAGACTTTCCAGGTAGAACTTGAATTTGAACCAGATCTGTCTCCAAAGACTGAGGTTTTCTCATTATTGTCCTGTTGAGTTGGTTGATGGAGGTATAATTTACATGTTACAAAATGCACCCACATTAAATGTATAGTTCTGTGAGTTTTGAAAAATCTGTATTCCTGTACATCTGTCACACAATCAAGATATTGTGTCCATAGGTCAGAAGTAGGTGAGACCACATTTTTATCTTGGAGTAGGAAATCACGTTGTGGGGTTTTTCCTTCAGCTTTGAGACGCTATGACAGATGATCCTTGCCACTTAGGTTAGATCTCATGAGGTGAAGATGTAGCCAAAATTTAGATGCAGAAGGAGCAAAGGATAAAGGTACAGAGTGATAACTGGAATAAAGGAGTTTGTGTAGAGAGGACATGAGAGATACATCTGGAACCAAATAGTGGGGATGTAGATTTCAATTTAACGAATAATAGTAATTTATTATCAGATATCATTTATGAAACATTTGGCAGAGACCAAGAACTCACTTCAGATTGCCTTAATGTTTATAACTACCTTATGGGATAATATTTTGGGGATGAGGAAGCAGTAACATAGGAATTAAGTAGTTGATTCCGTATCTAAGTACTTACAAGAGGTACAGCAGATACTAAACCTTGGTCAGTCGACTGTAGAGTCTATGGAATTCTCAGCCACTGTACTGTACTGCCATGCTGTCTTATACTTTATACAGAGAGTTGCCGATTCCTCAGCCCGATGGATTGGCAGACTCCCATGTAATGGTTCATTCAAAACTAGCAGCAAAAAATAGCTGCTATAGAAGAAAAGAAAGTTGTATAGGAAAGATCCTCTCCTCTTTTTTCCCCACTAAGTTTATTGATACATCTTAGGTATATAATACAGACATTCATCTTTGGGAACTTGTACCTTCACATGATGTTTCTTGGTTCTTATTTTTTTCTCCATTCCCCTGCCCCCGCTTCAACTCCTCCATCCCTTCCTGTTTACAAAGACTTTATTCTCTCCTCTTTTGAGGTATATAATCTCCAACCAACATGCATTTATCTTTGAGCCTCCAAAAAATCACAGGAGCTGTGGCAAGTTACTCACAGTAAGGTGGCTATGCTAGGCCCATGACACACACTCCAAGGCCTAATAGTTTTTCACACCCTCTTTAACTCATCTAAAAAGTGTCAAATCCTGTCCAAAAGCCTGAGATAACTTCCATATGTGAATTCAGTACAGCAGTCCTAGAACTCCTGCACCCCAGAGAGAAGAAAGTCGGACTGTTTGCTTTTGCTTATTAGATTCCAGCACTTTCCAGGGAAGATGGAGCTTTGCTGAAGATTTAACGCCCCCTGGAGGACAACACTATAATATATCTTCGTACGTGCTGATGTAGAAAGATGCCCAACTGAATTGATTGCAGTTTTCCCCCAAAAGAACAGGACCATCAAGACTTTGCAAAAACAGTTATTTAAAACATTAAACAAATGAACTTTTATTTGAAAGTACATTTATCTTAGAAAAGCTTTCATAAATTATATAATTCATTCTAGATTGCTTCATCCAAAATAATCTTTATAGGGCTGGGGATTTAGCCCAGTGGTTTTGCCACCTGCCTCACAAGCAGGTCCTGAGTTCGATCCTTGGTACCAATAATCTTTATAACCTTAGTACTAAGAGCGTATTTTCCTGAAGGTCAATTGCATCAGTCAAGAAAAGAAAAAAAAAACTCTCTAGGAGTGTGATAGTCATATCTTTGTTCTGATGTGGGAACTTAGACATCTACATATTTAGTTTGCAGTTCTCCACATGCAGAGCATATGGTGTCACTGAACAGAAGAAACTCACTGAGGATCACATCTTTACAGAAAATAGCCAACATTCTAGCTCCCATTCGATGCCAGTTTGTATCTTGGTTCTCTAAACCCTGGCAAATGTTTATAATCACGGTAAGCTGCCTGTTTTGGGACTGGAAGTTTTTTGTTTAGCTTTTTTATTAGTTCATGTTGGGAGTGCATAATGATTCTATTCCTCATGGCAATCGGTACAAGTGCCTAACCCATCTGAATTCTTTCTTCATCCCCATTCTTCTCCTCTCTCTCCATCTCTTGGTTCCTTTCCCTTTTGCAAACAATCTATTGCCTTATTTCTTATTATCTATCATTTAGTTTACACTTTTTTATGAGTTTCTTGTATAAGAGAAACAAAACCATTAAGGTTTTGAAAATTAACTACCATCTCGTTATCTGAGGTACATACAACTTCCTAAATATTTTTAAAAACTGTGCCTTTTATCTCAAACGTTTCCACGGCAATCACTCTTTTAACCACAATATTTTAAATTTAAAAATACCTGGAATTTTTAATCTAATTTTTAACACTGTGCTTATCTTTGAAGCAAGAAAAAATCCTAAAATATGCCAATTCAACTAGAACATTTTTAAGAAAGTGATAAAAATTATGTAATGGAAGATTTAACATTTAAGAACACTTTGGCAAATTGTAGCACACTGATATACAAAATCTGCCAGGTATACACTGTTCTTTTTTCTGTTCTGATTCACTGTAATAATTCATGTCAAATCACAAGCACAATTCATACAGTAAGTTTGCTCATCTGGCAGATTTGTGTAATGGGAAATTCTGCTCAATTGAATGTTCAGGTCACTGAAGACAGGTGATATATTGGAATGTCAGGGCTAGAAGAGTCCTGGGGATGATTTCGTCCACTTATTTTACAGGTTTTAAAATTGAAACCCTTGCAGGTTTAATGGTTATAAACTACTATATCTCTATGTTCCCTCTCCATTTTCCTAGAAGTACAGCAATTGCCTTTCATGATAAATTGTTTCCCAATCATCAAAGAAACAGAAAAGCATAACAATGTACACCATGAAATTATCAGTGGATATCAGCAAGTATCTCTGAGTAACCAAAAGGCAAGTAAGGTATTTACATTGCCACAGAATCATAAAAGATATTTATGATACTAAAATTAGTTCCTTCAAAGTATGATGAAAGAATACATTTAAGTTTACAAATCACCCCCAGATAACACGTTCAGTCCTGTACATGACCTGGCTTCCCAGGATAGAAATGGAGAAAGTGATCCTGGTACAATTTCCTCAAGCGTGAGAGCTGATGAGCATTTGTTTCTTTGAGTAACTACATAAACCATGAGGGTTCCAGGGCAGCCCTACTGGCAGGAGCAGAGGAGCTGACCTTGAATGATGGCCTTCTCCATTTCCAGAGCTCGTATAAGCCTGTCTCCCAAAAGTTGCATCATTGATGCATCCAGTTGGCTGGGTTTGACCCAGAACAGTTAAACTAGATGCAAACTCAATTACCATACAATTATGGTAATTTGTAGCCTTCTCCCAAGTTTCTCAAGTCCATAGAGGTGCATGAGAATTCAGGGAGAAGGAAGACCTACATTCTTTATTCCAAAATTTCCCACGCTCATAATATGAATTGCCCGGAATGCATCTGATGACTCAGAGGATCACACAGAACTATCCAGGACACTGCTTGGGTCCGCTCCCTCCCTCCCTATCTACAAAGACTTTGTTTCCATTTTGTTTTTCATTTTCTCATATTTAGCTCAGTGGTTCTGCTGCCTGTCTTGCAAGTGCAAGGTCCAGAGTTTGATCCCTGGTACCAAAAAAAAAAAAAAAAAAAAAAAAAGGAACAGAGTTTTATATTAAACAGACCCACCTTTCCCTTAAAACAGTTCTTATTTATTTGGCATGGCACATGATTCTGATCCTCCTTTCCCACACTTACCATCAAGTACACATTATCATTTTCCTCATTTTACAGATGAGGATACTAACACCCAAAAAGCATTTTTTCTCAAGACTACATGGTTACACATTAGTGGAGCCAGGTCTGACTGTTGACAAAGTCCTTTGTTCCACTTATGTCACATTGCCTATTTATGCATCATTCTGTACTTCTACGAGGTCTTTTCTTAAGACCCATGATAGTAAGTGGTGGAGAATATAGAGAGATATTTTTCTTATTTTGCACAAGAGGGAAGTAAGTTAGCAGAACCTGGTGTTTGGGAGCAGCAAAAATGTCTTCCTTTTTCACATCCAACCCCTATCCCCAGCTCTGAATCCTGTCTATACCAAAAGTAAAACAGGGTTTTGGGTGGGGATATATGTGTGTGACTCTCGGCCATGAGAATGTTGGTCCTGGGTTCCAAAGTTGTTCCTAGGCTGCTAATGAAGGCAATGTCAATGTACAAAATTACAACACAAAATTACAGGGCATCCTGTGCTAGAAGTTTCTGCTGGAACATTGTGCTTGGCAAAACTTTGCTTTGATACAAAAGTAATTCTGTCCTTTGTGGGGAGTGAGCCATAATAAAATTCCCTTGTGTGTCTCATATGTTGGTAAATTTAGAGAAAAAAAATCTGAAC